GGTAGGCCTCCCTTGCCTCTTCAGAAACTGCCAGCAGTGTAGTCTTGAATATACTATCCCCAGAGGGTTTTATTTCTCATGACATTTGTCACATTTAACATGTGCCAGGCCCTGTTCTAAGCACTCTATATGGATTATTTCATTTCATCCTCCGAACAAGCCTGAGGGGTATAGGTTCTATTGTTGTTGTCTCTGTTTTACAGATGGAGAAATGGGTCTAAAAAGGTTAAAGACTCGAAGATCTCACCACTATTAAGTTGCACAGCCAGATTCAAGTCCAGAGCTGTTGTTCTCAGTTACTACACAGTCCTGATTCCCTTTCCCCCCCACAATGTTTTGAAAATAAATGTTTGAATTAGAGGTCCATCTAATTCACCAGAAGTCTTTTCTAAGCATCCAGTTGTCTAGCTGCTAGATAGAAAGTGAGAAAAACATGTGAAAGTATTTACTAGGACTCCTCCTGGGTCACCATATTTCTCTCAGTACCAGATTGTCCAGTTCTTAAGTATATATTAAAATGTTTCCATTAGATCGTATGTAGAGCCACATCCCTCATAATCAGGGTCTAGCCATTGCTGAATTTGGTAACCTCTAGGCTGCAAAGATAGTGGAAAATCAAGCCTTGCTCCCCACCCCAGCTTCCTTTTTTGGTCATTAATTAGCAATGTAATTTCTTTTTATCATGATAAAAAAACCCACATAATGTGAAATTTACCATCTTAACAAATTTTAAATATACAGTTCAGTAGTGTTAAGTATATTCACATTGTTGTGAAACAGGTCTTCAGAACTTTTTCATCCTGCAACTATGAAACTCTTTACCCATCAAACAACTCCCCTTTCCCCCTCCCCCTGCCCCTAGTAGCCGCCATTTTTCTTTCTGTTTCTATGACTTTGACTACTTTAGATACCTCATAAAAGTGGAGTCATACAGTATTTGTCTTTTTGTGACTGGTTTAGTTCACTGAGCCATGATGTCCTCAAGGTTCATCCATGTTGTAGCATGTGTCAGGATTTCCTTGCTTTTCAGGGCTGAGTAATAGTCCATTGTGAGTGTATACCACATTTTGCTTATCCATTCATCTGTCAGTGAACATTTGGGTTGCTTCCACTCCTTGACCACTGTGAATAGAACATGAGTATGCAAATATCTCTGAGACCCCGCTTTTGATTCTTTTGGATATATACACCCAGAACTGAATTGGCTGGATCACATGGCAGTTTTAGTTTTAATTTTTTGAGGAAACTCCATACTGTTTTCTATCATGGTCGCACCATTTTACAATCCTACCAACAATGCACAAAAGTTCCAGCTTCTTCATATCCTTGTCAACACTTGTTATTTTCTGTGGGTTTTTTTTTTGATAGTAGCCATCCTAATGGGTATGAAGTGATATCTCCTTATGATTTTGATCTGCATTTCTCTGATGGTTAGTGATGTTGAGCACATTTGCATATGTTTGGTGGCCATTTCTATACCATCTTTGGAGAAATGTCTATTCAAGTCGTTTGTCCATTTAAAAAATTTGTTTGATTTTGTTGTTGTTGTAGGAGTGGTTATTAATTCCTTATCAGATACATGATTTAGAAATATTTTTCTCCCATTCTGTAGGTTGCCTTTTTATTCTTTTGATTGTGTCCAACTAAAGAATGACATAGTCCCCACTTATATGTGGAATCTAAAAAAAAGAAAGATACAAATTTTATTTACAAACCAGAAATAGACTCACAGACATAGAAAACAAACTGTGGTTACCTGGGATTGTGGGGGTGGGGGAGGAATAGTTAGGAGTTTGGGATTAACAGATACGTATTACTGCATATAAAACAGATAAACAACAAGGACATACTGTATAGCACAGGCGACTATGTTTAGTTTCTTGTAATGAGCTATAATGGAAAAGAATCTGAAAAATATGCAAATATGTGTATGTATACGTATAACTGAATCACTTGCTATATACCTGGAACTAACATCATAAATATAGTACAGTTCAGTAAAAACTAAGAAATTTTTATAAAATAAAAACATTAAAAAATAAATAAATAAAAAGGACATAGTCCCAATTGCCAAGTCCACTGTCATGAAGCTTTCCCCCTGATTTTTTTCTAGGAATTGTATACTTTTAGGTCCTAACATTTAGGGCTTTCATTCATTTTGAGTTAATTTTTGTATATGCTGTCAGTTAAAGGGGATGGAGGCCCCCAACCTCTGTGACCCTGGCTTTCTTCATCCGTAAATACCCTACTTGGCTGTTTGAAATAAATGGTGCAGAAGCATTTGGTAAACTCTTTCATAACTGAAAGGGATGTTTTGAATGTGAGGGTTTTGCCAGCAGTGTACACTGAACAAGTGAAAACCTCCTGTTTAACTCCACACCCCTGTTTAACAGGTCCAGTGTGGGGAGCAGGGCTGGGTTTGCCAGAGGATGAGAAAGATATATTTTAGGCATCTTTCTGGGGCAGCCATACCATGGACTATCCAAGTTCAGGAAACTGGCCACGGGGAAGACCCCTCTCTGCTGACAGTGCCCTTCCCTTGTTCAGTCCAAATGTTGGAGGAGAGACAGATGGTCATATACTCTTGGATGCTGGGGGAGCCCCAGCCTCATCTGTCTTGTTCACCCATCTGACCCTGATGCCTAGCCTGCCATGTTGACCAAATGGAAGGATGAACATGCCATGCAGGGGTGACGGCTGTTTTAAACTCAGCCTCTGTCGTGGGAGTCTGCGACGGCCTTGCTTTGGGGCCTTTGGTTTTGCAGGCTGCTGTCACGGTTTGACAGGAGTTGAGCTGCTGTTTCTGCCTCCACTGACGCTTGGTGGGAGTCACTTTTATGTAAGATTATTTCATCTCCTATTAATGTCAATGCCTATAATATCTGTGGTCATGAAGAGAAGAAGTAGAATTCCTGAATAAATAACGTCTCACCATCAGATCTGTAAACTTGGAATCTGCACATTTAAATTTCTAATTGTCCTGGGTATGTTGAATTTCAACTTCAGTGTTTCCTCAATTGACCTCTAATTTCTGGTATTTCAGTCTTTCATTTGTCTTGGTAACTGATTTTCTTTTTTAGACTCTCCTTTGCTTACTGTAGGATTTTTGGGGGGTATATTTTAGTGCTGCTGAATTTTTAAGCTAACAGATCACTTGTAAAAGGAAGAATCTAGGTTGCTGGGGCATCTTGTAGATTGTGGCTGCAGCTACAGAGATTGTGTGATGATTTAAAAAAACAAATCAGTTCAAGTATCCTGAATTGTTCTCTGTAGACTCCTAACCCTGCTCGAAATAGATCCTGTGCTCCAGGGACCCATCATCTCAGTCCTTCTGGTCCTAAGACACTCAGCGCACAGCCTCATTCCTGTGCTGGCTTACAGGGACTCAAGGGCCCCCTTCATCACCAGAGTCCTTCAGCACTGCTGTTGGCCATCACTGTACAAAGGAAAGAATTTAAAATGTGATAGGTTTTAAATGGATTTTATTTTGTACTGTGGCAGTTTTCACTGACAGTCACTTAAGGCTGTCCTGTTTGGAAGGGACAAGTATGGATCCCCTGAACAGGAGGAATACCCTGCAACTTTCCCTTTGCCCACATTACCAATGAAAGTAGACGATGTCCCCACCACCCAGTGTCAGCAAGTCTCACCTTAAGGTCGGTCTGTGGACTCCCCTTACCGCACTTAATATAAAGTAAGTCCCAGGCATCTTTTTAACTTAATTTTAATAATTAAATTAAAAGTAATTTTAGTAATAATTAATATTTGTAAATATTTCTGTAAATATTTGTATGTATCTCTTTAGAGATGAAGGTTTCTTAAAAAAAAATCCAAATGACATTAACATACCTAAAAATTTAACACTAATTCCAGTTCTCATCCTGGTGGATCATGTGACCCCTTACAAGATCAAGAAGGAATGTTATCTTTTAAGGAGTTGATGCTAGAAGAATGTTGCTCTTTATGGTTGACCAGGTATTCCTGCCAATGGGGGAGGTTTGGTTGGTGTGTAATGCAGAAACACAGTGCACAGTGAGGGGAGAGAGGAAGCCAAAAGGCAGAGATGAATTTTTTATGTTTAATGTTTTTTGTCTTGCCATAAAATATGAATTTTATTTCACACCTGATTTCACAGAATGGCCTGGCTTCCTTCTCCACCCCCCAGCCTCCACCACCCACTTATGCACCTTGTTCAAGGGTCAACTGGGCTTGGTAATTTCATATGCTAATAAGTAGGAGAATCATTCCAACTACTTTGGGGAAGGGGTGGAGACTCTCAGGAATTGGGCCTTCACCCTCTTTTTGACCTGTCATGGTTAGCCTTGAATCTGTCATGGCGCCTGTGGGTGTGTCATTCACCAGGCCAGGACACTCAAGGTGTGTAATGAAGTTCAAGGTCCACTGGAGGTCGAATCTCCAGCCATCTTGGGCCTCCAGGTCTATTGGGAGTTGACTTTTCTGCCACCTTGGTGCTAACTGCTGTGTCATTCCTTTCATGGCTGTGCCCTGCCCCCTTCCTTCCTGTCTCAGTGGCATCCTTGCTCTGTGGGTCTGGGTTCCCAGGTTACTCCTGGCAGGGGTACCTCCAAGTCCTCCCCCTGGGGTTCTGGCTCTCTAATCTCAGTTTTAGTGGCAGGTTCCCACCCTGTTCCAACTCTGTGTTTCTGAGGCTTTGTGGAAAGAGTCTGGGATGGAGTCAGAGGTCTGCGCTGTCTAGCAGGACCCCAGCAACCACCCATTCCAATTCCCGGTGTCTGCAGAGGCTCAGACCACAGCTGTTGTGCCCTACGTGGGGCACCGACACTGACCCTCCTCCCTCTGCCACTGAGTGCAGCCAAGCCTCTACCGGTCAGTCCCGATAGGTATTATCTCCCCGTGCTGACTCCAGGGCCTCTGCCAGCTCCAGGGGTCTGAGATTATTTTCAGTCCTTGAGATTTTTCTCAGTCCAGAACTGCTGAGTTTGGGAGCCTCACCCCATCGTTTCTCTTGCATCCTACAGAAATCAGGGTGAAATGGCCCACACCTGCCGTGGCACCATCAACTTGTCCACCGCGCACTTTGACACGGAGGACTCTTGCGGTATCGTGCTGACCAGCGGGGCCAAGACCTACCACCTCAAGGCCGGCTCGGAGGTGGAGCGGCAGCAGTGGATCACTGCCCTGGAGCTGGCCAAGGCCAAGGCTGTCCGCATGATGAGCAGCCACTCAGGTAGCAAGTGCTCGACATGGTGGGGGACCTGCAGGGTCGTGGGTCTGGAGAGAGTAGGGATTGAAAGCGTTTGGGGGAAGTGGTGACCAGTAGACCCAGGTGAGTCCAGACCAACCCCAGGAGGTCGGAGTGTGTGTTCACTCTTCCCACTCAGCCCCGTGCGACCTCAGCAGTAGGACGTTGGGTGGTCGGCGGGGGTGTAGGGGTGGCTGGCAGTTCTTGGGATGGAAATGTTTGTGGTGGGTTGGGCTGTGTGCACCCTTCTTCGCACAAATCTGATTCCTGGGCTTCAGCAGAACCTTCAGAGGCTGCAGTGGGTCAGCCGCAGCAGCAGCAGTTGGGGTGGAGACCGGGGTGGTACCCCTGACCCTCAGGCTAGACTTTTTCTGAGGTCCATTTTGCAGGTTAAAAACTGTTTAACCAGAGCTGCTGCCTTTGCCAAGATGGAAGGTCAGCTCAGAAGTCCTGAGCAAGACATTTTATTTTTTACTTTAATTTGTTTATTTTTTAATATGTAATGTCTTTATAAGATTCATGAACCAATGGTTTCAAAAACATACGCAGCAAAGCCTGCCCTTGACTCTTATACCCTCGCGGCCCACCTCGTTCTCCCACCCCTAGGCAACCAGAGCGTCTTGTGTCGTTGCATATATATTCAAGTAGGCACTTACTTTAAAATAAATGCTGTCTTCCACCTTGCTTTTTTTTTTCCATTTAGCAATAATGTATCTTGGATTTTTCTTCCCTATAAGTACGTAAAAAGCTTCCGCCGTGTTTCTACAGTAGTACAGTACTTCCTTGTATGGTTGTACCCTAGTTTACATAGCCTGTAGCCTGTTGATGGACATTTAGGTTGTTTCTTTAATTTGCTATGAGTGGCTGTGCTGTGGTGAGTGACCTGGCGTTTCATTTCATGTGTGTGCAAGTATTAAATGAAGTGTGTGTCCCAGGAAGTGGGGTTGCTAGGTCAGTGGGACCCTGCATTTGTAATTCAGAGACATTGTGCAGTTGCCTCCCACAGGGGTCACACCATTAGATGCCTGCAGCCGGTATGAGAGTGCCAACCTCGTCAGAGCTTTGCCCACCCAGAGTGACAGCAGATGTTTCTGATGGTTGAAAACTGTGTCCACACACAGGGAGGGGGCACTGGGAAGCTACAATCTTTTGAAAGTTATAAACAAAAGGTGTGTGTTTACACAGACTTGTGTGGTAGTTTTTAGGCAGGCAGGGCTCCAGGTGAGGGGAGTTACAGCCCCTGGTCTCCAGGATTATCTCCTAGGCTGGTTTGGGAGACAGTCCTGTGGAAGGAGCTCTCGCACAAAGGAGCTAGTGATGTCAGTCGCCTGCATTGGGGTCTCTCCCCTAGTGCTAGCTTCTCAGTGCACGTTGAAGGTCATTGAATATCAGTTGGACCTTCTCTTTTAGTCTCTCCCATTTGGAGCATGGGTCCCCCTGTGATGAATTCCTTGGGGTCAGCACTTGTGTGGCTTGGTGTGTCAGCAGTGATGATGAGCTTGGCCAGGGGTCCCCAGAGTACCACTCCACTTCCCAGTGAAGGAGGGTATTTGGGGGCATCTCAGGTCCTGGCTGCACCGAGATCCCCAGCAGGACCTGTGGTCTCAGTTTGGATGCCTGTGGAAAGCTACTGTGGCAAGTGATGTGGCCAGTGGTGTGGCTGGACTCAGGACAGTCCCATTGGTCAAGAGCAGGAGCATTGCTGGTCATGAAAGAACTAGCTGCTTCTTACTAGCTTCTCCTAAGTAAAATGAGTAAGCAAATAAATAAACTCATTTTTAGGAACGTCCTGAAAATAATGTAGCAGGTAGCACTTACTGGATTCATCATTCTGGATCAGTTTTCCTGGGACAAGCAGCAGGCAGGGTTTCTTTGAGGCTGGCGTGGAAGTACTTTTTAACTCAACTGGACAGCCCTAGGGATGGCTAGCGTGGGCTTTCTCTGGGAGAGGTTGGGACCCCGGAGAGAGCAGCCTCAGGCTGACCTGCCTTCATTTCACATCCCTTAGGCATGGGCAGAGGCTGGAGGTGCAGCACATGTCTTGTGTTCCCAAAGGGTCAGCCTTCTGGGTAAGGACATGGGACAGACATTCAGGTATAATTCAAGGTAGTACATTCTGTGTGCTGGTGAGAAATGGTCAGATTCCTCTCCTTTTGGTGTTTTGAAGCACAAATAAACTAATGTATGTGAAGGAGGAGGCTTCAAGCTGATACTGTGCTTTTATAGAAAGGTTGGGGCCACCTGATTATTTCTTTAAAAATAACACTTATGGTGGCTTCTCTGCAAGGCAACGCCCTCCTCCCACAGTTCTCAGGCGGATGTTGGAGAGTTGTGGTTTGTAGCTTTTCACTTGGAGTCAGCCTTGGGTACCCCTACCTAGGGGAAGACTGCCTGGTGTGGTTCTCCTTGAGTCTGGCTAATGGCAATCAGCTGGGTCAAGGACGCAGACCCCTGTAGGTCATCCTTTGGCCTGTCTGTCCCTTCCTAGACTGTGGACCACCTCTCATCTGGCAGGAAGCCTACTTCATACTCCACTTACCTCTTGAAATCATCTCTTACTCTCCAGCTTTTCTGCCACCCGGTAATCCAGGTGCCGTCCCCTTAGCTGGGTGTCTGCAAAAGCCTCCTTCCTGTCCTCCTCCCTGCAGCCAGTTCTCCAAACAGCAGGCAGAACGATATCTTTAAAAATGGGAATTTGATCATGTAACCAGACTGCTTACAACTCTTGGGTACTGTAAACCAGCTAGACTTAACAGACATATCAGAATACTCTGCCCAGCGACAGTGGAACACACATTCTTCTCAAGTGCTATGGAACATTCTCCAGGATAGGCTGTATTTTAAGCTAAAAAACAAGTTTCAGTAAATTTTAAAAGGCTGAGATCATTCAAAATGTCTTTCCTGACCGCAGCGGAATGAAGCTAGAAATCAATAACAGAAGAAACACTGGAAAATTCACATGTATGTAAAAATTAACACTCAAATGACCACTGATTCAAAGGTGAAATCACAACGGAAATTAGAAAATACTTTGAGATTAATGAAAATGAAAATACAACACCAGAATTTATGGGATGCAGCAAAAGCAGTGCTCAGAGGGAAGTTTATTGCTATAAAAAATATGTTTCAAAAGAAGGGAAACATCAAGTCAGTAATCAAGCCTTACACCTTAAGGAACTAGATAAAGAAGACCAAATTAAACCCAGTAAATGCAAACACAGCAGCGCTCACCAGCCTTTCTCATTCTCAGATTCACAAGCCCTTTTTCGTGTGTTATTAAAAGAATCCGTGTGAGGGAGTGTTATGGATCCCCAGTGGGTCAGTGACCCCTCGATGAGTCCTTTGTCTGCAGTCGCAAATGCCAGTCAGATTAAACCTGGTTCTGGATAGCCGAGCGGGAGCTTTATTCATTGATCAAGGCTTGGAGAAGCGAGAGCTCGTGCTCTGAAGACGCCTTCTCTCCCGGGGAGGGGAGTAAGGGAGGGATGCTTCTGCTCCCAGCGGTGGGTCTGGGTGACAGAAGGACGTGGAGTTTTCTGATGTTCTGATGAGTCCAACAACCCCAGGGCTGAATGATTTGCCAGCTAAGTAGCTTCTAAAGTCCTTTGTCAGTGGAAAGCTTTATCTGGTGTCTGCAGCTGCCACCTGGTGGCTGGATCGAGGCCCTCCTGGCGTCCTGTGGTAGGGCTGGCTAGTGTCTGTGCCTTTGCTCACTTACCTGCCTTTTTAAGGTGCCTGTGGGGTCATGAGAATCTGGTACTTCTGAGAGAACGCAGTGGAGAATGACCTTCCATCTAGGCAGTCCCCCACCCTCCCAACCCCATGAGAAGGGGAAGGGACCAAGATGCAGGGCTGTGCCCACCTCCAGCCTTCGACTCTCTGTGCCATTCGTTCATCCAGATCTTGACATCTTGGTGCCCCTGCTGGGATTGCCCTCCACCCATCTCAGCCCTCAGGTCCCCTGGGTCCCTTGGCCACAGAGCTTGTCCTTAAACTCCAGGCCTTGTCCCCTGATTGGCAGACCCTTACGTCGTTAGCTGCACCTTGACAAAGGACATCTGGCTCCATGAGCCCGACCTCACCAGGCCCTGTCCTCCCCACACTGCCCACAGCCACCTGTGGACCCTACAGTGATCTGAGAGTCAGAGGCTGGCCCTTTTCCACCACAGCAGCCCCCCTTCCAGGGCCCCTCTTGACCTCTCTGGCTCCTCCAGCAGCTGCCTTCTTTCTTATCTCTCCTTGCTCGTCCTGGCTCTGTGTCCATCCCTCAGTCCCTTCTGGGTTGTCCAGCTTCCATCACACCCACGTGTCCTCCACTAAACAGCAGGGCAGCCAGGAGCCAGACTGCCCTGTGCTTGAATCTGGCTGTGCCGCTTATTAGCTGAGTCACAGGGGCAAAGTCACTTGTCCACTCTGTTTCCTCACCCTAAAGTGTGTCCAGTGATAAAGGCTTCTTAGGGTTGTCAAGAGGGAATCAATTAAATCAGGTACAGACTGCTTAACACGGTGACTAGAGCATGGTGGCCACTCAGTTATTGGCAGTGAGGCAGCTGCTGTTTTGAAGACCCTTCAGTTCCACGCATTCTGCCCTCAGGCAGGGGTGGTTGGGCCCTTTGCTGAGTCACACAACCAAGTCCTGGGGCAGCCCCTCCTAGCCGGACAGACCAGCACCCCCTCAAACCCAGGGCTTCTGCTGGGCCTTTATCAATGCCTGCTCCCTGGTGAGGGCCTCCTTCCAGCTTCCTCTCCCATCCCTCAGTGGTTCTTAAAGTCCACATCACTCTGTGTATCCTCACCACTGCCTCCCACCACCCAGCAAAGGATCTTGCCTCCTCCCCTCCTCCTTGCTCTTCCGGAGCAAAAGAACTTCATAGCCTAGACCACCTCAGCTCTCTGCCATCAGACTTACTGGTCTCCCTGCATCGGCCCCTGTGGGACTCCAGTGAAGATGTTTCTCCTCTTTGAAGTAGTGCCCAACCCTGGGG